GAAGCACCTTGTGTCATTGTTGCCCTGGCTGCTGTCCCTGGGGAGGGACAGGTTCAGGGCACCTTTGTTCTGCTGACTCCTTGCTCTGGTGGTACCTGTACAAATGAGTTGTAGCATAAACAGAAAATCTGGCTGGGATGTTAGTGGGTGGTGTCTGTGTAGCAGGGGCTTTCCCAAGGAAATCCTCCCCGTTTCACATGGTGTGTGTGCTCTTTCCTTTGTGCCCTTGTCCTGGCAGAACGCTCTGGACAGGCAGGAGGAGCTGACTCCCCTGGGGGTGCACCTAGCACGGCTGCCCGTGGAGCCGCACATCGGGAAGATGATCCTGTTTGGAGCCCTGTTCTGCTGCCTGGACCCCGTGCTGACCATTGCAGCCAGCCTCAGCTTCAAGGACCCCTTTGTCATCCCCCTGGTAAAGTCCCACAGACACCAATTACATGTGGGAATTTAAGACTCTCAGGAGGATGCTGGGACTCAGTGAGGTGTTACAGCTTTAAGAGCACTTTCATTAATGTCGTGGTAATTACATTTTTACTAGTGGGATTGCCTTTGTGTACTATGAATTATCATTTTTCCTGTGGAATGTTTGAAATTACTATAATTCTCATGTGTGACATACAGAGTGCTGCTGTACAGATGTACCTGAATTTGGAGAAGAGAACTGTCATGTCAGCCTGGGTATTATGTAGGTTCTGATTTTTAGGGCAAAGAGAAAATCGCAGATGCAAGAAGAAAGGAGCTGTCAAAGAACTCGAAAAGTGACCATCTGACTGTGGTGAATGCCTTCACTGTAAGCATGTTTCCATGTGTTTTTTTTCTTCTAGAATTTTAATTTCAGTAATAGAGATGATCCTGAGGAAAAAGCTGATCAGTTTGTGCTCTGTAGGCTTTCTTGTTTGGCTTCTACAGAAACATAAAACCAAACTGATTTTCACCCTTCTAGTGTTGCATAATCTTGTCTCCAGGCTCAGTAACCTCATTTCTGCTAGACAAGTCTGAAAAAGACAAAGGAAACATAGTATTACATTTACATTCCTGAAGTTGTGCCCTCTTGTCCTTCTGGCCTCTACAAGAGGCTGAAGCCAACTTCAGAAGTGTTGGACGTGGTGCTGTACTGGGTCGTGGTGAGGAGAGGAGGAAATAAAGGGCCTGGAAAAGGCAGTTACTGCCCAGAACTTTAACTTTGTTAATTACAGCAAAGGGTGGGTGCTCTGGAGACACAGCCAGGTGTCACTGCCTGCCAGGGAAAAAGGAAGGTTTGATTCAGCATGTTGTGAAGTTGTGGTGAGTGCACATATACAGAGATCAGAGGATTTACTTTCTCCCTGGTGGGGAACATGTGACTGTTGGCCTCCAGTTTTGGCTGTCCTTAAGTCTGTAGTGTTCACTTACAAACACCTTACAACTCTGGTTTCATTCCTAGGGCTGGGAAGAGGCTCGGAGTTGTGGTTTCAGGAATGAGAAGGACTATTGCTGGGAATATTTCCTGTCCTCAAACACCATGCAGGTAACAGCATCCTGCCAGGCTCAGAGAGGATCCTGTGTGTGGGGGAGAGGAGGAGCCTTGGCACAGCATCATTCTGGGGCAATTTCTGTTGTTTCCTAGATGCTGCATAACATGAAAGGGCAGTTTGCTGAGCATCTCCTTGCAGCTGGATTTGTGAATAGTAGAAACCCCAAGGATCCCAAATCTAACACCAACTCAGGTAACTGTGGAGGGAAAGGGAGGATTTATCCCAGCTGAAATCTCAGCTTGCAGAGCTGCCTCACTTACTCTGCTGTCTCCTGCAGGTAATGAGAAGCTGCTCAAAGCAGTCATCTGTGCTGGCCTCTATCCCAAAGTGGCAAAGATCCGGCCCAGCTTCAGCAAAAAGAGAAAAATGTGAGGGTTTGGTTAATGTTGGTTTGTATTCAGGGTGTTTTCTGTGTGGCATAATTTGGCAAGGTGAAGCAGTGGCTTGAGTGCATGAATGAATCTCACTTCTACAGTTTGAGTTGTGGTTGTGTATTACTTCCTGAGAGTGGGATTGCTGATTTCTTAACTCCTAGATTGCTGCTAACACCTGAAGTAACTGGTGTGACCTTACCACGCCATGGATAATGTTACATGGATGATCTCAGCAGCACTGCTCTGAAGGGGCTGTGCAGCAGCAGACCAAACATTGTCACTTCTGGTTATTTGGGAAAGAGATCCCAGGGATCTTGGTCTGTTGATTTATCACTTCTTGTATTATCAGACTCTTTTTGTTGTTGTTGTTTTTCTTTGAAGGGTGAAAGTTTGCACCAAGACAGATGGATCAGTCAATATCCATCCCAAATCAGTGAACGTGGAGGAAACAGAGTTCCATTATAACTGGCTCGTGTACCACTTGAAGATGAGGACCAGCAGCGTGAGTCAGGGCTGTGCTTGTGGGGTTTATTTGTTTTATAACAAAATAAAGGCTCTTGAATGAGCCTGGGCCAGGGTTCAGAGGGGATGTGAACAGCCTTTGCTCTGGGGCCTTCCTGTCCTAGGCCATTCCTTGTGCACACCATCAGATTATGTCCTTTGTGATACTGCTATTGTGCCACAAGTAATGAACTTCTGTGGTTTAGTTCTTGTTGGGGGTTTAGTTCTTGGGGGTTTTTTTTTTTTTTGAGGATTTGGGTTTTTTTTGGCAGTAACAGGTGTAAATTCTTTTAGTTTGTTTTTTTTTTTTTTCTTTTTTCATTTCAATAGTCTTAACAATTCTCAATATGCTCACATTTTTTCCTCTCATTGTTGCGGAGCATCAGGTTTGATTTCACCACTGTGTGAAAGACTGAAAGACTTGGGACCATTTTTGCTCTTGTGCAATCTGATTTCATGTAACCTTTTTTTTTGAACTGAGTTGCTTTATGCATCTCTTCAGAATTTGTGAGTAACTGAGTAAGGATCTTCTGGAAATCTGTAGGAGTCTCATTAAGGATTAGTGATGGCACTTGAGACATTTTGAGGGTGATCAGACAATTCTGTTGTTGTGCAGATTTACCTGTATGATTGTACAGAGGTGTCTCCATACTGCCTCTTGTTCTTTGGAGGGGATATATCCATTCAGAAGGATAAGGACCAGGACACCATTGCTGTGGATGAGTGGATTGTTTTCCAGTCTCCAGAAAAAATAGCAAACTTGGTCAAGGTAACTGTTTCAAAATAATGTACTTGGAAGGCTCAGTGTAACACTGGTTCTGCTTAGGGATTTCTGGATTTGATATTCCTGTGGGCCTATTGATTTGTCAGTCAGGGAGATGATGTTTGAAATGCCCTCCCAGCAAGCAGTTCTAGCACACAAATTAAGCAAGAGAGATCTAATTTTGCAGAGATGCTGTAGGTTGACTTGGTCAGGAGATACAGGAGATATCCACATGGATATGGAATCATGAGAGTGGGGCTCCTCAGTTAACAGGAATGGCTTCCATAGAACTGTTTAATATTGAATCCCAGAAATCATACCTGACTCTTTTTAAATGTTATTTTAAACCAGCCTTTAATCCTGAGGTCGCCAGCTAAGTGCTGGGTGGGCTGTTAGAGGTGTCACATCCAGACATGGTCATCTCTCATCAGAGACTGGATTTTGAGAGGCAGCGTTAGATCCTGGAAACAGCAGTGTGGAAACGACCTGGGGGGAGAAGAGCAGGGAGAACAGAAGGCCTGAGGCACTGAACCTCTCTGTTGATGCTGTGGCTCTAACTGCCCATCTCCCTTTCCTTTTTCCTGCTTTTCCTTTATTACAACACTCCCCAGAAACTGCGAAAAGAACTTGACGATCTTCTACAAGAAAAAATCGAAAACCCCCACCCCGTGGACTGGAAGGACATTAAGTGCAGGGACACAGCAGTGCTGACAGCCATTATAGACCTGATCACCACGCAGGAGAACGAGGCCGTCAGGAACTTCGCGCCGCGCTTCCAGGGCGAGCGCTGCACCTGACGCCGCGGCCCGCCCGCGCGCGCGGCCGCCTTCGCGGCGTCCCTTCAGCTGGAGGAGCACTTCTGTGGGGTGAGCTGCTGCCTGCCCCGTCCTGAGGAGCAGTTCTGCAGAGCTGCTTGGCAGTACGTGTGTGTGCACGAGTTCTGTGCTCGGTTCTGCAGAGCTGCTTGGCAGTACGTGTGTGCGCGTGTGTTCTGTGCTCCGTGTGGCTTCGTGAGGGACAGAAAGGCAGCTCTTGGGTGGTGTAAGGTTCTTGTCCTGCTGTAGCTGTTTTCTTGGGGTTTTTTACCCATCAGGTAACAGATATTTAAAAAACCTGCTCAAATGCAGCTTAGTAATACCTAAATTTTTTTTTTTCTTTTAATGGGGTGTGGTGAGTAATTATACTTGCTGTGTTATTCCAGCTGTGCAGCAGTGTGCTCACCAGCACTTCCACAGAAGGTAATTACAGCTTAATTTAACTGAACTTGAAAACACTTGTTGAATTTGTATGGTGGGAGGAAATAATATCTTCAGAAATTCTCCTTTTCTGCATTTCATCCCATTCAATTAATCTTCCTTTGCTTTCTGTCCCCATCCATCATCACTACTGACTGAAATTGCAGCTTGCAGAAAGCATGGTTGGATGAAAGTCACGTTGGGTTATGTGTTAAGGTTTCATTGCATTCGAGGTTTTTTGGGGTTTTTTTGTATTTTTTTAAGAAGTTAATGTATGGGTTATAGTATTCCATTAAGAGTCTTTCTTTGCAAGTCTTACTTCAACTGTTCTCAATGTTTTGAATGTTCTGTTTTGAATGATCTCCAGTCATGGAAGATTATTTGAATGACAAAGTTTGTTAAGGGTTTTGAGGTTTATCCTTGAGGAAAAAAACCTGGAAATACAACTTTTCTCCCTTCTTTGGTGTTTCGTTGGTTTATTTTTCTTTGCAAAAATGACCTTAATCATCAGGTTCAGGAGGATTTATGCTTTATTCTGAGGAAAGCAGAGCAGCTCAAGTCAAAGTTCCTGGCTGTGAGGTGCTTCCCATTGGGTAAGCAGGGATGGAGGGTGCCCAGCTCCTCTTTGCCACTGCCAGCTGCACAGAAAGTCCTTCAGCCTCCCTCCCACCACCACCTGCCTGGTGTGCAGTCCTGAGCAGGGCCTGGGGAGCCACAGGCACACAGAGATTTCATTGGAGATTCCATCTGGGCAAGCGAGAGCCTTCTGTTGGCAACCTGTGTCCTGATCAGGAGGAAGGGGAGCACTGCATGCCCTGCAGAAATCAGAGCTGATGTTGCAGTAACAAACTGCCAGCTGCCACTGCTGGGCTCCCAGTTAAAAAGGAGGTGCTGGTGCAGTGCCCACCTCCAGTTAAAAGGGAGAGGGGGGTGTGTGTGTGTGTTCAAAGTGCACAGGGCTGATGAAGGGCTTGAGTTTTCAGGTGATTTCCTTTGCAACAGCAGTGCTGATAGAGAAGTCAGTGCTAAAAATGACTTTATTTTTTGCTAATGAAAATAGTGTGGAGTGTCTGAGCTCCCTGCCCTGGGCTCCAGGGACAGGAGGCTGGGCAGTTAACAGGTCAAGCTGAGTTTGGACTGGACACAAGGAAGCAGAGCTTCACTGGGGGAAGGGACAGAGCCTGCAACAGGCCCTGGAGAGGTGGTGATGGCCCAGGGCTGAGGGTGGTTAAAAACACTCAGGAACAGGATTTAACACTGGGTCAGCCCTGGGGGGGTTGGACTCACAGGGCTGTGGGTTCCTTCCAGCTGAACTGTGCTGAACTACAAGAAGCAGAGGGAACTGAAGACTTTTCCCATCTCCCTCTTAATGGTGTCTCAGCAAGGAGATGCTGTCCCAGGCCAGTGCTCCAAGTCCAACAGGTAACTGGGATCTATGACAGATGAGGTAGGACATAGGATGGTGCTATTTACCTTTACAGAACAGGAAAAGCTAAAATGCCAATGTTTACTGAAGAGATTTACTTTCTCTGACAAAAATTACATTATCACCTGGTGGCTTTATGGCATTTAAAACAAAATCAAAACTTTTTTTAGTAAGGATTTAAAAGCACTTTATTGATTGTTGTCCTATAAAATCATAGAAGTCTTTTAATTCCTGAAGAACTGTGTCCAACAATAGGAAAAATGAAAAATGTCTTTACAAAACATTACAGCATTTTTGGAAAAACTAGGTATGAAAAATATATACAGTGTATTAAAAAAAATCTGAATAAAATTAATGCCTGGATTTATACATTCAGCTATGTGTTAAACATCCACATGTATACAGTAAAATCTGTTAAAACAGTCGCAGTGTTTTTACTATGTTAAATAAGTCTTTGTTCAATTTACAGTTTCTCTCATTACTGTTTTATCAGTCCACTTATAAATTAATTTGTAAGGCTGTATAACCACTGTCACGCTGTCCAGGTAAGTATTTTTGTACAAAATTACTGCCTTCCTACTGTAGTTTAAATTATTAGAGCTACACATCTTTACAAACAATTCACTCACCACTCCAATCAGCATCGTGCAGGATAAAAGCCAGCAGAGGCTGGGGAAGGCACCAGGAGGAAAGCCTTGGTAGTACAAGTTGTCCCCTCATTTCACACTGCTGAGTCAGCAGCTGGTCCTTGAAAGGGAGGGTTTTTATCACTCACACTCACACCTCTGCAGGCACCTGCCCCGAACTCTGCTCAGCCTTGAGTGCATTTGTTCAGTGAGTGCATTTCGTGTTCTCATCACCGCTGCCCTGAAGCACTGAGTGAAGTGCACCTGAGAAAACCAGAAACCACTGCCCCCACTTCCAGCAGTTATTCTGCAGTAAAATACCTGTGCTAGGATGGAGCAGCAGAGGGTGGTGCCTTTTCCTGGCTTTCAGAAATCCTTTGCCCACAGCAGAACCTGGAGCCGGTCAGAGCAGCCCCATGGAGGCGCAGCTGCAGAGTCCTGGCGAGGCAGTGCCAGCTGTGCCTGTGCCAGCTGTGCCCATGCCAGCTGTGCCCGTGCCAGCTGTGCCATCCCTGATTTGCCCTGGAGAGGTAGGTCAGCCTTTACAGAGTCCAGGGCTGCTCGCTGGAGTTCAGGTGCCACGCGGGTGCTGACACGAGGGTGTCACAGTAACACAGGGTCTGGGGCTGCAGCTCCTCAGCAGCAGGACAGCCAGCACTGGGCCAGGCAGGCCCCTCCAGAGTTCTGCTGCTGGAAACAACTTCAGATGCTCAAAAGCAGACAGAGCAGAGGGTAAGGAGGCAGCGAGGCAGAGCTGCAAAGCGTGCCCGAGACACTGCTGCAAGGTGCTGCTGCTGGGGCTCAGCTCGGAGCTGTCAGAGCAGGGACCGCGTCTGCGGCGTGCCCCGGCCCGGCTGCTCGTTGCTTACACGTTGGTTTCCAGCCCCAGCAGGCGGCCCATGCGCTCCATGTTCTTGTCCAGGGTGGCCCTGCAGGTGATCTCCCGGGCACACTCCGAGGGGAACCAGCCCCTCTGGCCGTCCCGCAGCCGCTCCCCCTCGTACCAGCCTGCAGGCAGGGGACAACAGTGACACCTCTGCAGCCGACCCCGCCCCGGGCTGCTGGCTCTGAGGTACAGTCTGCATTTGCCTCCACTGGGGATCAAGTACCACTTTAGGATAGCTTTGGCAGATGTTTTTAATCCAGACAGACTAGGTAAAAAATAGTATGTGCAAAGTATTGCACAATTTCGCTGTCTTTTTTGTCATTCAGATATAGTTTGAAGTAATGTCATAGTACAGTGACAGAATCTCTGATTTCACAGGTAACTGAGCAACAGCAAGTTAGAATTTAGTCCCTCAAGCAGACAGTGTTCTGCATCCCTGAGCCAGCACTTGGTGCTATCAGTGCAGTTGTGGGCAAGTCTGGGCAAGAATCACCGTGATCTTGGGATACTTGATCCTGTGGCAAACCTCAGCAACCACCCTGTGGCAGGAAAGCCCAGGCCATGGCACAGCAGACTGGGGCTGTTTGTCTTGGACAGCCCTGGCACTCACTAGAATGTCTGAGCTCTGTGGTTTTAGACAAATTCAATTTCCTATTTGTGGACACCTCCCATGCCAAAACTGGCCAGCAGCCATGTTCTACAGCTGGTTACATCTGCTGCTTCCTTTAGAAACCTGAACCCAAATGCTTACGTTTTCCTTGGAAGCTGAACTTGTACTCACTGCAGTCCTGTGCTAACAGGAAACAAGTTTTTGTAGCTGGATCCCCCTGCAGAGGTGACAAATGGGTACTGACAAAATCCTCACTCACCATCATTCACCTTCTGATAAACCAAAACGACATCGGCGACTTGGAGAGAGAGCTCATCGGCCTGCTTGGCTGTGTACGTTCTGATGATCTCCACCTGAGCCAGTGCTGGGGAAGGAGCGAGCCAGGCTCAGTTAAACCAGTCACAGGCAGGGGCTTTAACTACAACACATCGCTGTTTATTTACACAATTCCCACTTGACACTTTCCCCCGGCTCAGAGCCCAGCCCAGCCCAGCCCAGCCCGGCCCAGCCCGGCCCTGCCCGGCCCTGCCCAGCCCGGCCCAGCCCCACCGAGGGCAGTGCTGCTGCCCTGCAGAGCACCACGCGTGCCAGGCTCGTGACTCACAGGTCCTGTCCGTGTGCTGCCCGTCGCTGTCCTGGCCCAGCGCCGTGATCCAGCGGGCTCTGTCACTCCTGCAAAGGAGAGAGAGCTCATCGGCCTGCTTGGCTGTGTACGTTCTGATGATCTCCACCTGAGCCAGTGCTGGGGAAGGAGCGAGCCAGGCTCAGTTAAACCAGTCACAGGCAGGGGCTTTAACTACAACACATCGCTGTTTATTTACACAATTCCCACTTGACACTTTCCCCCGGCTTGGGGCGGCTGCAGCCCGGCCCAGCCCAGCCCAGCCCGGCCCTGCCCAGCCCAGCCCGGCCCAGCCCGGCCCGGCCCAGCCCGGCCCGGCCCAGCCCCAGAGCCCTGCAGAGCACCACGCGTGCCAGGCTCGTGACTCACAGGTCCTGTCCGTGTGCTGCCCGTCGCTGTCCTGGCCCAGCGCCGTGATCCAGCGGGCTCTGTCACTCCTGCAAAGCAGAACCCCGTGTCCCAGCTCATGCCCTGGGCAGTGCTCAGCTCTGAGACTGCCCCTACTCCTTCCAGTGCCAGCATCCCTCCCGTCACACCTGGGAGTAACCCCCGTGTATCACCACCTCTGTGTATGCTCTGCCTTCTTCACAGATACAAAGTTCTCACCTAACACTGGTGCTTTTCTCCTTAGGACCCACATGCCACAGGAGATGGTGAACCACAACCAAACTGTGCTGGAAATCCTGGGGTCAATGGAAACATTTCAGTTTCACCTGCACAAAGCTATTCTGAAGGCACACTCAACTCTCTGAACTGTTTGGCCTTTGAAATTCCCTTCCTATCCTCCTCAAAAGATAAGACTATAAAAATAGGTAACTTAAAATACAAGAATTCTTTTCAGACTCTTGCTCTGAGTGATGATCAGCTGGACTGCTATTTTTACTGCAAACAGCACAGAACAAATCAGTAATAAGTCTGCAGAACAAAATGTCTTTTCATACAAAGCCCAGACAACTAAAAATGTCCTGCATTTTTTCCCCAATAAAATTGCATTTCCAAACAAGTCTGAATCATCTCCTGCTTTCATAATGAGATCTTTAATAGAAAGCACTGATGATCTTCAGTTCCTTTCACGGTTATTCTAAACTTTGAAAGCCAACCTAAAACTATCGATTTTTCCAGGCAGGGACATGTCTGGAGCACTCCCTTTCATGTCTCTGTCCTGCCTCCAGCTTCCCCCAGAACAAATGAACTCTTTCAGTGCGGGGAGGCCTTGTGGAAGTTGATGGCACATGTACATCCCAGAGCAAGCACTGGCTGCTGCTGTTCCTGAGGCAGGACACTCCTCAGGGTGCCCGGGAGAGCAAGGAGCAGAGCTCCTCCTGCTCTAACCCTGCTCTGCTGCCGCTGCTGTGCCATCCCAGTGCCCTGCTCAGGGCCCAGAGCACTCTGGGTGTGCCTGGGGACACTCCCGTGCCACACACTGGTGCTGTGCCCGCACAGCCCCACGGTGACACCCACCCACTGACCCTGGGGTGAGGGACTGACACCCACCTGCAGCAGTGAACCTGGGGTGAGGGACTGACACCCACCTGGCAGTGCTGACCCTGGGGTGAGGGACTGACACCCACCTGGCAGCAGTGACCCTCAGGTGAGGGACTGACACCCACCCGCAGCAGTGACCCTGGGGTGAGGGCCTGACACCCACCTGGCAGCAGGGACCCTGGGGTGAGGGACTGACCCCCCCCTGCAGCAGTGACCCTCAGGGGAGGGACTGACACCCACCTGCAGCAGTGCCCCAGGGTGAGGGACTGACACCCACCCGCAGCAGTGACCCTGGGGTGAGGGCCTGACACCCACCTGGCAGCAGGGACCCTGGGGTGAGGGACTGACCCCCCCCTGCAGCAGTGACCCTCAGGGGAGGGACTGACACCCACCTGCAGCAGTGCCCCAGGGTGAGGGACTGACACCCACCCGCAGCAGTGACCCTGGGGTGAGGGCCTGACACCCACCTGGCAGCAGGGACCCTGGGGTGAGGGACTGATACCCACCTGGCAGCAGTGACCCTGGGGTGAGGGACCCAGCACAGGGCTGGCCCTGCACAGGAACCTGCCCGAGGCACAGCTACACTGATCTCTGCAGGCAGGGTCATTGAGGCCTTACCCAGCAGTTTAAATGAATAAACCAGAATAAGTAATAGAAATAAATAAATAAATAAATAACGATTACTGCTTTGGGCAGGGCGGGAGGAGCTGCCCATGGAGACAAGCAGGTGAAGAATTCCCTCAGGTAACTGTACTCACTGAGTCTCTGCTCCCAGGAGCATCTGCACCCTGTCCCCGGCGTGGTTGCTGAGCAGCAGGAGCCTGAAGAGGTGGGAGGCAGAAGCGCGGCCCGAGTGGAGCACCCCGGCCGCGTTCCTGGGAGAGCAGCTGGGCTCCTCGCCGTCGCAGGGCAGCACCAGCAGCTGCTCCCGCAGCGAGTACTCGGTGACGTTGTAGCTCTCCTCACTGCCGGGAAGGAACAAGACACCGGGCAGGGTTTAGGTTCCCGTTCCGTTTGTCTGGAAGCCACCCCAGCCACAGGCACGGCCACAGGGACAGCCCTGGCAGCACCTCCCGGCTCCACGCGGGGTAACAGCCTCTGCCAGAGGTCTGGTGTGACACAGAGCCCGAGCTCAGCTGCCAGGGGACATCTTAGCAGCAGGAGCCTGAAGAGGTGGGAGGCAGAAGCGCGGCCCGAGTGGAGCACCCCGGCCGCGTTCCTGGGAGAGCAGCTGGGCTCCTCGCCGTCGCAGGGCAGCACCAGCAGCTGCTCCCGCAGCGAGTACTCGGTGACGTTGTAGCTCTCCTCACTGCCGGGAAGGAACAAGACACCGGGCAGGGTTTAGGTTCCCGTTCCGTTTGTCTGGAAGCCACCCCAGCCACAGGCACGGCCACAGGGACAGCCCTGGCAGCACCTCCCGGCTCCACACGGGGTAACAGCCTCTGCCAGAGGTCTGGTGTGACACAGAGCCCAGCTGCCAGGGGACATCTCCAGCGGTGTTCTGGGAAATAAACACTGACGTGGCTCTGGTTCTTTCTGCACAATGACTTTGTGCACTCCCAAATGATGGACACAGAACAGCATTCTAATGGAACCAATCCTGCTCAGCTCTGAACCAGGGAAAGGGTTGGGTGGGGCTTGGTTTTTTTGGTAAGTTGGGGGATTTTTGGGGGTGTATTTTTTTTTAAAGATGTCAGTTCAGTATTTTAGTTTGAATAACTCCTTAGCCAAGGGAAGAACTGGCAATCCCTGCTGGGAGTGCTGCCATCACTACATGGGAATCTTGAGTCTGAAAAAGAAATGTGTCTATGCATTTGTGCAATGAATAATAAATGCATTTCTTACGAATTAATCAACTAGTCTGTACATGTGCACAGCTAATCATAACAGCACTTCTTACTAATTAATCAGCAGATAAACCTCTACAAATCCTTCCCACTCCTCACTTCCATGCCACAAAGCTGCTGGCTCAGACTCCTGCTGGAGGGAATCCAAACACACGTGAGAGCACTCAGTGCATTTCCCACGAGCCCCCTGGGGTCAGCACTGCACTGATTCCCCCACCTTCAGCTCATGCCCTAAGCCAGCCCACAGCCAGGTCTGTGTGACCCTTCCCGAGCAGCAGCCACGTCTCCTGGCCTTGCCCCACCATCCTCACACCTGCTGGCACTGCCTGCTCCTCTCAGGACACTGCAGTAGTGCTTGGCAAGTATTATTTCATTTTTAATGATTAAAAAAAAAAAATAAATCAGATTGTGTCTACACACAGCAGTGGCTACAAGGACAACTGGCAGAAGAAACATTCCCAACAAGCTAAAAGCTGGGGAAAAGCAGACTTTTATCCCTCTTTAAAGCCTTGCACACATCCCAAGTCCCTGTGTCACCTCCTGCCCAGTTTTTGGGGAGCAGCCCTGTGACTGGAGAGCCCTTTGGCTCCCTCCTCTGCAGCATGTCAGAGCCACAATTCCCAGCAGTTCCAGCACATGGAGATGGGGCAGAGCTGGGCAGAGGCTGCTGAGCCAGGGCTGGAGATGAACTCTGGGTGAAGCCCCAAGTGCAGCCTCAGAAATGCCCATTTTTAGCACCAAGTGAGGTGTCCTAGTGTGATGTTAAGGATCTTCTGAGATTCAGCTGCTCAAGGAAAACCACAAACATTCAACCCCAACTAGCAACAAACATTTCTGTGTGCTGCTGTGGTGCCATGGCAACACCGTGGGTGGGAGCACAATCAGCTCCAGCCCTGCTAACGAGCTCTGGCACTCGGGCAGAGGGAGCTTCATCCTCCTGCAACAATCGTGGGAAGTGTGCAGGGAAAGGACATTCCCAACACTTTATCCTTCCCAAACTTGTCTTTGCTGGGGCATAAAGAATCATCTTTTTAATTTGTCTGACAATTTGGAATCTTAACTGTGTTTGCCAAAAGTAAATCCTGTTTAACAAGCAGTTACTTGTTATTTGTAACCCATGATAGAGGCTCAAATAACTCCTGAACTCGTTCCACAGCCAGGATCATGTTAAAAGTCACTGTGATTCAAGGACTGAACACAAAAGCAGTTTTATACTGGTGAAGCTCTTACCTCTTTTTCTTGGTGATGATGAGGACATCGTTGAAGAGGAAGAAGTACACCTGCTGCTTAGAGGTTCTTTTGGAAAAAAGTCCAGTGTCTTCTACATAGGCTGTTAATTCACCCCTTTTCACCAGCCACCGTGAGGAGGAAACCAATGGAAATGGCTGCAAGGCAAGAAAATCACATTGCAATCCTTCCAAATTAGAGAATTTTTAAAAAACAGAGTACAATCCGTTTGGAAAAAATGCTTGAATAATCTCAAAGCTCAGAGATTACAAACACTAAGAGGTTACCAAAGTTTAAGGGGCTGCATCATTGCTACAACACACAGGGAGCAGCTGCAAATACCTGGGAATCACTCGGGCACCTGTCATCACTGCTCACAGAAAAGAGAAATGAACAGACCTGACTGATCCCACTGGGATGGAACACACTGGGACCTCCCGAGGGCACAGAGCAAAGCCTGACTTCAGGAATGTGCCTGCAGGGTGAGAGCAGCTCCTGAAGCACGAGGGGACATGGCAGTGTCCTCAGTACTCACGGCTCTTCCTGGAGCAGAGGGGACAGTCCCTGTGCTGGTGACCAGGAAAGGCAGGCAGGGGTGTGCAGGTACCACCTCCTTCCTCTCACACCTCTGATGTGCCCTCCCTTGGCAGCACAACAGGAAGGTTTCCATGGCCTTGCTGTTCTGCTGGGGCTCCTGAAGTGTCTCAGCTACCTGCCAGGCTTTACTGAAAAGGGCTACTGAGGGATCCTACAGCTCCTCTCTTTATCCAGCTCATCTGATGGAGCAGGAGCTCCCTTTCTCCCTAGGTGGGGGTCAACACCTGCAGCAGCTGCACCAAAGCCCCAGAGGATCTGAGCTGCCTGACGTGAAGACTTGCCTTTATTAATCCAAATTATTCCCAGGAGACACAGAGCCCACAGGAGGCCCTTTTGTTCCTCTGGGGCAGGACGATGGAGGGAGATGTGGGACTGTCCTGGTCACACAGACCCCTCTGAGGCTGCCCTGAACAGATGCTGCAGGCAGACAAGGTCCAAGCTAATGAGCACAACTGCCTGTTCTCCCTCATCTAAGCACCTTTCACATACTTTGAACAACACCCCTTCGTGCAGGTGTCAGCTGCCTTCCCCACTCTGCATGAGTTGGCTTTTTGTATCCCTTAATCCTGGCCAAGCTGACTGCAGCCTGCCTGTACCTGCTGAGCCCAAGCCAAAGCCAGCGCTGGGACTGAGAGCTCACTGCTGCAAGAACAAACACCAACTCCCCAAAACAAACCCCCACAACTTCTCTCGTGCAGAAGATGTAAAATTTAAGAACAAAAACTGCTGAAACTTAATTACAAATTGAATTCCACAGCTGAGCCGTGTACACAAGCAACACGAGATTTGAGTCACTTCCCTTGGGCTCCCATGAAGCTCTCCACAGTTACATCTAACAAAATAATAAACAAATCTCCAAAACTCCATGAGACTGGGCAAGAACAGAAATACTTTAACTAATTTATAATGGCTATAAAACAGAATGACAGTCCCAAGATGACTGGTTTACAAGCAAAAAAACTTTTAAAAGTTCTATTTGAGGATGAACAAAAAATTCCTCTAATCTGTACTCCAAATGAGTTCATCCTATTTTCCCAATTGACTCTCTTCCAGAGACAGCTTGGTTTTACTTTAATTTTTCCTTAATTGCCAAAGGAGCAAATCACATGCACCATGTCCCTGCTGCAGAAATGAGACTCTCAGAAGTGAAAAATGCATTTAACCAGAGTGGGGCTTCCCTGCCCTGGGGGCTGAGGGGCTGCAGGGCTGGGGCTTGGATGCACAAAGGGAAATCTCACACAAAAGCACAGAAAGACAAAGCCCCCCGAAGCTGCTGCTGCCAAGGCACCAGCACGAGCTGCTCCAGGGCAGGTGGGGTCACCCAGGAGCCACCAGAGGGACAGAGAGGGATGGGCAGGGACAGAGGGACCCCAGGCCCCGAGGGACTCCTGGGATCTCAGGGAACCACGGAGCAGCTCAGCCCCCACACTGGGCTGGACTCACTGAAGACTTCAGTCTGGTACCACCCATCAGGAAATGCTCTGCTGTCACTTGCCCAGAAGTGTTGCATTTGTTGTTGCTGTTGCTATAAGCAAATATTATTACTATCAATTTTTAGACAAAATTTGAGAATAAAAATACTTTAGGCAAGTTGAAAATGTCTTTTTGGAGGCAGCATTTGCCCCAAGCCTGACCCAGAGCTTTTCAAGAGCTGTGCTTTTGAAACCATGAACCAACCTCCACTCACTACATGCCTGATAATGAAAATATCTTCTCCCAAAAGAATCCCCATTGTGTAATGGTATCAGACATCAATTATAGAAATGGGATTGTAGCAAACATTAAATAGAGACAATAAATGTACTTGAAGAAAATCCAATAAGCCTCCCCTACCTATGACTGGGTCTGCTGTTGTTTCCTACAAAAGAGTGACTGTACAGGAAGTTTTTAATAGAAACCTGTCCTTGGGGGGAAGGACAAGCACCCCCTGGATCCTACCCTGGCCTGGAAGTGTTTTCCCAGCTACACCTTTCTCATCAGGTACGTAAGAAAATCTCAGCAGTGAGCAGCAGCCTTTGGCCTCTCTCCTAATGCCAGAATCTCCACAGCAGCTTTATCTTTACAGCAAAGAATACTCTACATTTAGTATTTATTTAAAATCCCTTGCGCTGTAGCATCACCTTCTACTAAAATTAAAACACTTAACCAAAAGTTTTCATTCCTGTTGGGGACACAGAGCCCAGCGGGGACACAGAGGCACTGAGGGACAAAGAGGCACTGCAGGGACACAGAGGCACTGCTGGGCACAGAGGCACTGAGGGACACAGAGCCCGGTGGGGACACAGAGCCCGGCGGGGACACATCCACCCCAACGTGGTGTTTGCAGGGCCACAGTTTGCAGGGCTGGCCCGGTGGCTGCACTGCTCCCAGACCCCCCTCACCCCTGTGGGAACAGGAACCCCGTAATTTGTGATTCTCCAGGGGGAACAAAGGTTCAGCCCAAGTTCTGGCTGAGCAGGGCCCAGGCTGATGATCAGCTCCAAACACACACCCTCCTTTGGCTGGATGAACTTCCCACAGTGCTCCCCCTACAAACCCACAATCACCACACTATCATCCAGTTTGGGATCTTTTCTAAAGTAGGAGCCAGTAATTCTGCACAGACCCAATCCCCAGTGCCCTTCCTTAAATACAACAGTGCAGAGCCTCTACACTTCAGTGCTTTTCCCACCTGCATTATTTATGCATGGAAAACATCCATTTTTCCCTGGAAGTACTCAGGAATGACTTGAGAACATACCTTGCTGACTTCTTTCAGAGCCTGCTTGCAGTTCTCGTATTTTGCTGAATCCTTGGGGGTTTTCTGGCAAATAGTCTGGAACAAAACATCAGTTAGTTCAGAGGACCAAGCAGCACAGACTGCAACCTAGAAAGGTTTCACATCTTAACTGAAATCCAGAAGCTGAATCACAGCTGTGGACTGAGATAAAGAGGGAACACCGGTCACTTGGTCACACTAAGGAATGCCTCCCTGCAAAGGTTTGGGAACAAAGTGATGCTTTGCACCTCTCCAGAAGAGGTTTATACAACCATCTCCAAACAAAAAACAAAACTGAAAGAGTGGGAAATAAAATGCTTCATTTGATTGTTTAGATTATTTCAGCCAAAGAGGGGAAGGAGGTATAGGAAAAAAACCCAAGAAGGGGAAGGCACCCCCAGCGACACTCTGCAGGAATGCTGGATTATTATTCAATTTTTTACTTAGAAATGTACTGCAGAGAAGAGAGAACTGAATGTCCATGAATGAACTAACTGTCCAGGTGATCAAATTACTCAGTGCTCAATTTAAAAATATACCGAACAAAATTATCAGTTCTGTTTCTGGCTCCTACCAGTGCTGGAATCTGAGCCTGATCACAATCTGCACTCCTGCTGGTGGTCCAGCTGCTCCCTCAGTCCTGGCACCTTAAGTGAAATACCCTAACTCCTGGTGTGAATTCTGCCTGACACACACTCCTTGGCACTTCCATCACTCTGAGTCCCTGGTCACTGCACAGGGAGGGACAGCTCAGTGCCACTCACACACAGCTCCCTTGGGAATGGAGTCCATCCTTCAGGTTCCCAAGAGTATCCCTGCCTAAGGGCCCTTGTTTTTCTGCTGCAGGGTTCATTTCAATCCTAGCACTACATACAATTCCTGTGCTGGTTCCTCCTGAGTTTCAGAACCATTCTGACCCTTTACTGTACAATCTTCCCACTAGAACATCCAAGTATTTAACTTGTGGATGGGGGAGCAGGAGGGCCCAGTCCCAGTCAGCAAACAAATGCAGCAGGAATCCACAATCCACAGCCCGGGAGTGGCGTAAGGGAGAAGGCATGAAGAGACTGGAGAGAACCAGAACTGAGTGTGAGAGGACATTAACACTGCGAGAACAAGCAGCAAGGAAAGAGGGAAGTGGGTGCTCACATCCATCAGCAAGGGGAGACGAGTGACCCTCTGCATGGGGAGGATGAGGAAGGAGATCATGGGCAAGTTCCGGCAGTCCTCGTGGGACTCGATCCGGGACAACACCTCCTTAAAGGCTGGGTTTGTGGCTCTGGGGAGAAAGAGCATGGGAGAATTCAATGGTATGTTTTACCAAACGATTGTGCGAGTTGCTACATTTTAAATAAACCATTATTTTATAAAAAGGAAGTGTGATTTGCAGGAGTCAGACCACCCCAACCTTCAGCTTTTGTTCCCTCAGATCCACCAGCCCCAGCACTGACATCAAACCTCAGGAGCTGCCACCCCAGCGGTGAGGGCAGAGCCCGGTGTGCCACACAGGGCCACTGTCACACTGTGTGACACTGAACTGATGGAGGAAAGAGCACGTGAGCCATGAGCGGGCAGGAGGGCCCCAGTCCCCTCAGAGGAAGGCACCCAGCAGGGCTGGCAGCCCCAGGTCTGCCCCGTGCCCGGCAGCACGGAGGCTGTGCCATGCTCACAGCAGTCTCTGCAGGGTGCGCTGCTGGTACACCTCGTTGGTGCAGTACTTCACGTAGGGGTCGAAGCTGCAGCCCGCGTGCCTCGCCACGATGTCGCTGATGTCGTCGATGAAAACGCTGCTCTGGTGCCTGGCCTCCAGCTCTTCAAAGAACCTGGGGGGTTAACATCAACTGCTCACTTTTACATGCAAACAGCATCTTCCTCTCACAACACTCCCCTGACACAATCCAGTTACCAAGCGATGCCAGCCGGGCTGGCCTGTGACAGGGCGAGGCCATCCCTCCTTCGGCAGGGCAGCGAGGGCAGAGCTGGCAGGACACGGGCCCAGGACACGGGCCCAGGACACAGGACCAGGACACGGGCCCAAGGACACGGGCCCAGGACACGGCCCAAGGACACGGGCCCAGGGCACGGCCCAAGGACACGGGCCCAGGGCACGGGCCCAGGGCACGGCCCAAGGACACGGGCCCAGGACACGGCCCAAGGACACGGGCCCAGGACACGGGCCCAGGACACGGGCCCAGGGCATGGCCCAGGACACGGCCCAAGGACACGGGCCCAGGACACGGGCCAGGGCATGGCCCAGGACACGGCCCAAGGACATGGCCCAGGGCACGGGCCCAGGGCACGGCCCAAGGACACGGGCCCAGGACACGGCCCAAGGACACGGGCCCAGGACACGGGCCCAGGACACGGGCCCAGGACACGGGCCCAGGACACGGGCCCAGGACACGGGCCAGGGCATGGCCCAGGACACGGCCCAAGGACATGGCCCAGGGCACGGGCCCAGGACACGGCCCAAGGACACGGGCCCAGGACACGGGCCCAAGGACACGGGCCCAAGGACACGGGGCCAAGGACACGGGCCAAGGACACGGGCCCAGGACACGGGCCCAGGACACGGCCCAAGGACACGGGACCAGGACACGGGCCCACGACACGGCCCAAGGACACGGGCCCAAGGCTGCTGCTGGCCCCTGGCAGCTCAGCAGCAGTGCTGGCACAGGCACTTCCCGCTCTCCCACTGCCACAACCAAACAGCATCATTGAGCTGGTCAGACCAGAATTTCCAGAAACAGGGTTGGAAAAGAAATGAAACTACTTCATACACGCATTAACACATTTCCTCTTGCAATTAAAGGCAGCACAGCACCAGAGGTGCTTGATGGAGTACGGGTATGTGTGGCTGTTGAGCCAAGGACAAAGCCACGTGGTGGAGCAGGACATGGTGCTCCACGTGCTGCAGTCCTCCCCTGGAACCAAACACTGGAAACACTGAAAACAGGCACAGAACCCAAAATCCTGAGCTGGCTCTTCCCCTAAGCATGCTTGTTCTGACAACTTCTCTGCTGTCTGTCTCTGTCCCACATGTGAGTCTCTGGCCACTGGATGCCTCCCCTTGCTTTCTGCACTCCTGATGTTCCCAAAGCACAAGACTTGATTTCCATGATGCTCACGGTAATCCCCCACTGTCTGGTGTGGAACAGCTCACAGATCAGCTCTGCAGGTCACACACCCCTCACACATGAAAAGCTGCCCTGGCTGAAGCCTTTGTACATCAGCATTCACTGCAAGAATCCTCAACTCCCTGGAGTCAACAAGTTCATACAAAAATTCTCATCCAGCACAGAAAACATTAAGGAAATACTTAGAACACACGAGCTCACATTAAGCTCCAGTATTTTGAAATCTGCTTTATTTAATTTCAGCTCTTTATTCAATTTTTTTATCACTAACAGTGGCTCTTCAAATCTGCCACCTATTTCAAGTGATGCTCTCCACAGTTTGCTTTAAGAACACACCTCAAACACGCGAGAGGAGCAGAACAGGATGAGCAGCAGCTGATTGTGTGCAGCAGCAGGGCTTAACTGAATTAAGGCACTGTCCAGGTGTGCTGAGAAGCAGCTGCTGCACTGAGTGCCTGCCAGGCTCTCACTGGGTCAGCCAGAGCCACGACAATCAAGTGGACTTTGCTCTGGTTTTGGGCTCTGTTTTTGTGACACAGTAACTGCAGACGGACTGGCTGATAAACAGGGCTCTGCCTGCAGGGGCTGAGCAGGATTTGTTACAGCCCTGTCACTGCTGAGCCCTCCAGCACCTCCTGTCCCCCACACAGCCTCCTCCAAGGCACAGCACATTGTGAGCTCTCACAGACTTGTCCTGTGCTGTGGATTTGGGTTTAGTGCCAGGACCAGCCCCAAGGGGCACATAAATAATAAAATTACAGAAAAAAGAGCCTGTAAGTGTGGAGTCTGCAGTGTCTCAGGAGCCACAGCAGAGCCCCATCCCACACTGGGATTTGTTTCTCTCTGCTCAGACATGTTTATGGCTGGGAGAACCTCCCACTGTTGCCAATTCACTTTGCTCAGGAAATGAGGAAATCCAACATTTCCTGCTGCGTTATGGCACACTGACAAGGTGTTGGACCCTGCTGGGCCACAACTTCCACCTTCAAAATTTATCTGCTGCTTCATCAGTGACATCATCAGAGACAGTCCCTGTAAGAATAGTAAAGAGCTGGAAGAGTAGAAGACAGAAAAAAAAAAAGAAAAGAAAAAAGGGCAAAGAGGGACAAAGGAGCAGTACATCAAAGTCCCATCTCCAATATGTCCCGTAAGGAAACCCTGCACTGAAGTTTGAATCAAAAGCTGTAGTTTTCCATATCCAATCTGCCAATTATTAGATACAATCAGTGAACCAGACACATCATAGACCCTTTCACTAACAATTTTAGGACAGATTCTGCCATAAAGCTCAGGACTGAGGGATGAAATGATTCCATTCAATTTAGCCAACAAGGAATTTGCTGTGATATGTGCAGCTATTTTTGCTGAATGTCAGAAGGATTTATTTCAAACATCTCTTTGTTAAATCCAGGACTTTTCTGGTTAAAGTTAGATCCAATTCAGAGAAAGTCAAACAGCACTGCAGGACAGAATTTTATTTCCCTCATCCTGTCCTTACAGAGTGGATGGTTTAAAAGAACCATCCACTCTGCAACACTCCTGAAGGCCAAGGGCCAAATTCAGAAATGCAGGTTTAGTTCCAGGGTGCTGCTGCCACCACCACTGGAGGGGCAGCAAGCAGAATTCAGCCTCTTGCTCCTGGAGACAGGGGCACTGAAGTAACAACTGCCACCTTGAGATAACTTCAGCTAGAGGTAACAAAGATTTCTGATTAACCTCTCCAAATCTGAACCTTCTCATCAGGAACAGAATCTGAACAGCTGCAACATTATTGTTATTCAGGGAAGGATTTAAAATAGCAAAAATAGGAAAAATGGTCTTATTTCCATAGAATTTTTATGCTGAATCAAAATCAGTTTTTACAAAATAAAAAAGGCTGGAGAGAGGGTGATTAAAGTGCAGAACTGAAATCAGTTTGTTTGGCGAGTTCCCCCAGTCTCAATAATGGAAACCAACACAGAGCTACACGCACAAATGTGACACCTGAGCCTGCAGACTCACAGCCCATAAAACACCTTTCCTGGGCAGCAGCAGGAGCAGCTCAGACCCAGGCAGGAGCAGCTGGCCCTGCAGCATTGTGCTCCCCTGCAGCATTGTGCTCCCCTGCAGCATTGTGCTCCTCTGCAGCATTGTGCTCCTCTGCAGCATTGTGCTCCCCTGCAGCATTGTGCTCCTCTGCAGCAGCTCCGGGCCAGCCCACGCCCCAGGCTGTCCCACTGGGGAGCCACTCTCCTTGCCAGCTATTTACAGTGCCCTGGCAGGAATCCAGGGCACTGGGAGGCCACAGCAGCCCTGCCAAGATATCCTGCTCCAGAGAGATTCCCCAGACAGCAGGAGAGTGCCCAGAGCACCTGGGCACAGGTGGGACCTGGAGGATAACAAATGTCCATTCAGGCAATAAACGCACCCAGGGACACTGGGACAACGGAATGGGAATGTCTCTGACAAGCCATGAACACATCACAACCAGAGTGTTCACATCCTGTGATTCTGTGACTAAGACAGAGTTTAAAACCTGACAGAGTCTGTTAAAATGGTTTTGTTAGGATCTTTTTCTGCTAATGCTGCTCTGGTATCACAGAAGCATTTGCCCTTTGCTGGCCTAATGGCAGAGAAGGCACAAATGCTGAATCTTCCCTTCTTCCTATAAACTTGGGGATCTGACCCTGCAGACCAGCTGCTCCTGAAGACACTTCCCTGATTTCCCTGGGACTCCTCTTTCCCCAGAGAGGCTCCTGGGGAGCTGTCCGACCTGGCACTGATTTCTCAGGCTGCATTCCTGGCTCATTCCCAGCTGAGCTGCTCCCTGGCATCCCCACAGCCCAGTCCAACAGCTCCTGGCCAGGGCTGCACTGGTGAGTTTGGGTTGCAGCACATCACACGAGGCCACTGAACTCCAGCTCTCTGAAGCCACCTTCCAGGAGGTTTCCATGAACACACGCAGCATGTGCTGCACAGGTTATCCATCTCCACTTCCCTCTGTCAGAGACACTCCAGGGAGCTCCCAAAAGCAGAGACAGTCTCTACTCTCTGCATTCTGCTTCCAACAAAGACAGCTTTGTTCCCAGGAATGCCCTGTCAGGCACTACAGGCCTATCCTGGTGTTATTGGAGAGCTTCCATTAAACATGTTCCAAGTCAAAGTTCCTAGACAGTGGCTTTAAGCAGTTTTGACTACAGGTTTTTAGAAAGCATTTTTATCAGCTCAGGTTCTTCAGCTCACCAAACTTTCTCCCAGCAACCAAAACAACTGGTAACTATACTCATACTCAGGTTTTGTACTAAGCAAAGGCTGCTTAAGAAAACAGCAGAATGGGACAGATGCTCCATTTTATACCAAAGGGTGGATTTTGCTACTTTGAAACACCTTGAAAATAGAAAGCAACAGTTTGGAGATACCAAGCTGGTATCTGGTTTAAAATCACTTCCATTGTTTACACAAATGACATTGCTCAAAGCCAGCACAAAGTTTTGTTTTAGTTTAACAGTACTGCAAAACCTGGGAGATAAATTATGTTTCCATTTAAGTTTAAAAGGAGTTATGACTTTTGATTTTACCCCAAGTCATAAAATACCAAGCTCTTAAACCATGAGACTTCACAGGCAAAAGAATAAGATTATAATTCTAGGCTAGTGTGGTATTTTTCCATTATTTTTTTCCTCTCCCTCCCACTTCCTTTGAAGACTATTAATCAAAAGGGATGTTAGAGTTCCCCTAAGAGTACTGCTCTCCCCACCCCCATTGTCCTTTACCTTTACACCTCACATTTTGTGCAAGGAGTACCTGTAAAAGGAACTTTTCCTTGAAAACAAAGCCTTTGATAAGCTGCACTCCCTGACACCGGTGCCACCAGACTGGGGTGGCTCTGGGGCCACACAACTCCCAACCTCTGGCAAAAAGACCTCAACTGCAAGAGACAAAGAAAGGGGATTGGGAGGGAGAAAGGAAGGGTCTCCAGCCAGACCCAAACGTTCTCCTGCTCTGTAGCTCTTAAACTACACTTGGCTTTGCACTTGACACAGCACATCAGCCTCCAAAAAACAACATATTGTTGCTGCATGAGCTTCAGAAGACAAAAGTCAAACTGCTGCACAACAGATGTCAAATTCCACAGACTTTGTGGTGTCTCAGAGAAAAAAGCCAAGAAGTGACTGTGACTGGGGACACGGACCTTCACAAGTTCCACCAAGGTAAATGAGGATTTAATGCTAAAGAATTCACAAGGGGAACAAATTAAGGGGGAACAAAATAAAAAACCATTAGAATCCTTGTCAACCTTCAGCCTTCTGAAAGGAGGCCAATATTTCTCTGTTCCACAGGTAAAGAGATCCTTGTAGAGCTGTACAGAGCTGTGACCACTCAGCACCTTCAGGAGGCCAGGAGCCACTGCAGACACTGTGCTCCCTTCAGACTGCAAATCTGGGACAGGAAAAGCAACACAGACATTCTGGTGCTCTAGGGATGTGGAACACATAATCCACCTGCTGCTGTGAACAGAGCAAATTGCAAGGCAGCAAAGCCACATGCAGCAACTTTTTGGTGCAAAGAGAGTGTGAAGTACTCTGAGAGTACATACATATGCATGTCCTGGATTAAATAACATTGGCAGTGATTACCAGTCACAACAAGGCTTTTCTGTGCTTGTATCATGTAAGATCTGCCATTTCCTCCTCTTCAGGCACTATCTGCAGTGTGTCTGCTTGCCTTGTTCCAGACTCAGGAATGTGCCCAAAAGCAGCAGCAGAGCAGCTGCTCCCCGTGGCAGCAGAGCCAGGTCCTGGAGCTCACACAGGGGTGACAGGGGTGACAGTCCCAGAGCACAGCCAGGCCTCAGGACAGCACCCTCTGCCTCTCCTGGCATGAGCCAGCTCTCCAGGGCAAGCTTGGCACTCCAGCTGAAATTTAACAGCTCAGCAGGGCAGACTAAGCTTTATTTGAAACCCTGCAAGGACCAGGTCTGAATGCCTGGTCAGCATTTAGCCCAGAACTGTTTAGATTTGAAGGATGCTGACTTCCACTACGTTTCACTCTGTGCTTTCCTTCCCTCCCCATTTTCAGAGACACAAATCCCAGGCCAGCCCTGCTCACACTCCTGTGCAGATCTCTGCCACTTGTATTTTCCATCTTCAAACCAGCAGGAGTTTAGGAAGAAATGCTCACCACTAAAATGGTTCACTCAGCATCCAAAAAGAAACCTGCTGCTATGTTTGAGGATGCACAGCTCTGTTAAATACAGAAATGCCACACTTACTTTTTGCTTGCTTCATAAACATCCGTGATGTTGGAGAAGAGGTGGTGGCTCTCTGTTTTGGTCATTGTGAGGCTCAGTTCCCTGGAATTTTTAAACATCCGGATCAGAATCTCCAGGCTCAGCAAATAGGAGTGCTCAGAAGATATCACCTCAAATATTGCCTGCAAAGTGAAGGGGGAAAAGAAGAGACTTACTAGTGACCGGGCTTTTTTCCTTAAAAACAAAAAGAAAATGTTGAGCAGGGATGCAAAGCAAAGTTTTGGATGTAAGCTAGAGATTAAGACTTGAATATTAATCTCTATAATAGCTGCATCATTAATTAGAAATAAGTGATTTAATACTAGAAACAAAGTCTTTGTTAACAAGCCTACATTCAGAGTTTTCAGTGCAACTGCAAAGCAGGAGTTTTCAATTCAAGAGCAGGTGTGACCCCAAGAGCACAGAGCGAGGCTGCAGGGAGCAGGCTGAGGCCCCTGGTGGAGCTCTCCCCAGACTGGGAGCAGAGCCATCAGCACGGGCAGGAATGGGGCAGACACTGCTCCTGATGGGCAAGGAAGGGAGAGAGAATCATCTCACCATGACCCAAACACATCTGGAGAGCAAAACCCAGAGCAGGGTGCCTGACACAGCCAGGGCTGGGGCAGCTCCCTGCTGCCTGCTGGGCTCTCCTGGATGGCACCTGAAGCCACACTGGGGTTCACCTGCTCCAGACCAGGGCCAGGGGACGTGTGAACCCCAAGGACAGTTACACTCTCAGGGGCCACGTGCACCCTGTGGCTGTACACACATACACAGGTGTTTTAGGCTTGCAAGGAAAGACCTACTGAAAAGAATTTTAGTTCAAACCAGTCTGTGACACATTTTCTTCAGCCAAAATATGCACAGAGATCCACCTCACTAACAGATTCTGAAAGATGGGATGTGCATGAAGACAGGACATGGACATTAATCAAGGCAGAAAACAAACAAATATTTTTCTGCAGTGACAATGCATATAACTATAAAATAATCTAATAGGCTCTAAAAAGCAATTTAAAGAACAGATAAAGAATAAATGATAAAGCAGTTTAAAAGAAATACAGCAAAAGCATGAATTGGTAATGTAACTACAGCTTAAAAATATTTATTTAGGCTCCCACTGAAAGAACTGGCCTCTAAAATTCAAATTGAAAACCCTCAGGCATGAAAACATTTTTTGCTAACATTGAAGACTTTACATTTAAAAGGAATCCAAAGAACTTGTTCTTTTTGAAAGGATGCAAGTATGGCTCCAGGAAACACAGACTAAGGGCTCCTAAAGGACATCACTGAAATATATGCCTTGGCTCAAAAGCTTCCCAGCAGGAGGAGGCTGAGGCATGTCCTGAAGAAGAATGAAGACTGGGACAGATTCCCATGGCAGGTAATGCTGCAGGGCTCCTAGGCAAGCCCTATTTGCTGTGCAGGACACACCTGGGGAGGAGCTGCAGGGACACAGCTGCCCTGGCCAGGCCAAGCTTGGCAAGCTCTCCTTCCCTGTGACACTGCCCTGCACTGATCAAGGGGGGTACAGCACATGAAGAGGACACAAGGAGCACAGAGGAAAAGGAAAGTGGATGAAGAGGACACAAGGAGCAAAGGGCAAAGAGAGAGAAGAGGAAGAGAAAAGCGAAGAGCACCCTGGTGCTGCTGCTGCCAGCAGGGAGGCCCCTGCCCTGCTCCAGGGCTCAGGGAGCAGCTGGGCTCCAGCAGGCACACCACGTGCCCAGCACTGCTCACAGGGGCAGGTACAGCCCAGGGGCTCTGTGGAAGCTGCTCTTTGCTCCTCACTGCTATAAAAACTCCTGTGCCACATCCCCCCTCTGCGAGCTGGAGGTTACTGCCACCCCTTCCCCTGGCGCTGCCAGGCTGGAGCACCCCAGGAGCCCCTGGCATGGACACAGGCACCTCAGCACACACTGGGCTCATTTTTTTCTCCCTGGGGAGAAAGGACACTTCACTGGAGTGCAGAAAGCCAAGCAATGAACTCTTATCAACGTCTCCTTATCAACAAGCAGAGCACTGAGCCAGGCGTGCAGTGCAGCCCTGAGCAGCCAGCCCCAAAGCACAGAGTACCTCCTGTCTCTTCCTTTCCTCCTGGCTGATGGCTTCTGACAGGCCATTCTTCTTCACCTACAAAGACAAATCAATCAATATTTTGAATACCTTTTGTGGGAAAATGTGATTAAAAAGAGAGACAGTACTGCCAAAACCTAGAAAGCAAAGCACCAAGGCGGGCCTGGCTCTACAGGAGTTCTAAACACAGGAGGGACACCAGGGCAAGGGAAGGGAGAGGACCACAGCACCACACCCGTGGAAGGCCCTGTTCTCTTTGTGGAGCAGAGGCACATCACAGACACAAGACCCCACACCCATTTCTGTCAGCCTTCTCCAAAAGCTCCTAACATGCTACCATCAACAGCTTTCTCTTCTTGCTCCACCTGCTCCCTGGAATTTTGAAGGACATATTATTCCTCATTTTATTCCTGCACAGCTGGCCCCACAATGCTGGACAGCAGGAATAAGGAGGTGCCACTCTCTGGTCTGCACACCAAGGTACAGACTCACAGGCAAATGCCTGTGGAAGTTACATCAACATTCCAATGTGGGAGCCACTAGCCTTTGGAACACAGCTCCCAGATTCCCACAGCACCACAAGCAGACACTTCTGGATGCTGAGCAAGAACTAATTAGATGTCTTTTTATTAAACAACTGAAGTACATTTTAATCAGGAGCCTGAAAGCTCCAGAGCATTCCCGAGGAAGTGCAATGGCACTGAAAGGTGCAATGTAACTTTTTTCTGGATGCAGTGGAAGAGTTTTCTAAAAATACACCAACACAGGAAATACCTAGGAACGCATCCCCCAGATTTCAGTGCTCCCTGTTAACACAGACACTGCCAGAGTGCAGGGAGGTCCATGGGCACCTGCTGAACTCGTGCTCCAAACTGCAGCTGGCACACACGGGTGTGTCCCACAAGGTACACAGGAATTCATGGCACGTGAACTCACAGGCCAAGGGCCCAGCCTCACACTCCCCATCAACAGCAACACTTCCAAAAGAGAGGCCCAGATATGGACACTGCTTTGGCCATTTCTGCCAAAGAAAATTCAATACCTAATTTTGATGTGTCCAAAAAGTTTAAACTGAAATAATCTAAAAAAACATCACATGTGATACTAAGCAAACAAAAACTTCATTTAAGCTAAGCACACGGCCAGAAGGAATGAAAGAGGCCCAACATCACTGCTACTAACACTGGACTGGCTTTTCCCCTGCAATGACTGATTCAGCCATGGAGGTGAGAAGCAAAGGATCAAAGGAGGACAGGTGAACTCCGGTCAGGGACAAAAAGTTCAAAACACAGAGGTGCTGTGGGGGTGAACTCACCAGGAATCTGCTAAGTGGCTGCACCAAACCCAAAGTGACCACAAGCCCTTTGACACGGGGAGAGAAAGGGGAGCCAGTGCAGACATCAGCCCTGAAGGCCCCAGACTGTCACACCAGGGGTCTGGGCTGGTACCACGGAGGGCAGGCAGCCCTGCACAGCGACCCTGGGAGGTGGCAGCCCTGCACAGTGACCCTGGGAGGTGGCAGCCCTGCACAGTGACCCTGGGAGGGGTCCTGGGAGGTGCCAGCCCTGGACAGTGACCCTGGGAGGTGCCAGCCCTGCACAGTGGCCCTGGGAGGTGGCAGCCCCGCCCAGTGACCCTGGGAGGGGGCCGCCCTGCACAGTGACCCGGGGAGGGGTCCTGGGAGGTGCCAGCCCTGCACAGTGACCCTGGAAGGGGCCCAGGAAGGTGGCAGCCCTGCACAGTGACCCTGGGAGGTGGCAGCCCTGCACAGTGACCCTGGGAGGTGCCAGCCCTGCACAGTGACCCTGTGAGGGGCCCAGGAAGGTGCCAGCCCTGGACAGTGACCCAAGCTCCCTAAAGCCACTCACAGCAGCTGATTTTACCATGAAGGAGAAACCAGTCACAACTAAGATCAACACGTGTGAATACACTTCAGGAAGACAGAAACACCCTTTTTTATTACTGCTCTCATAAAGAATGTGACCACTCCATACCTGAAGGGCACTACCCGCAACCACAGCGTGGTGGGAGCTGCAGCAGCTCCCCCAGGGAAGCCTCCTGCAGAGAGAGGGGATCCCTCTGCCCCTGCCTCCCAGCACAGGCACTGCTCATAAACCCCAGAGACATTCTCCTCCTCCTTTCCTAGCGTATGCTGAAACCCAGGACTGACATTTTCCAGCTGACTTCCTGCAACAACTCCAGACTCACTTTTTAACTTCTTAATACACATTGACAGCATGTAATTTTTCCAGAGTTATAAACACAGTCACTCTGAGTATCACATTCCCAGATTTTGTTTTCTCCATGCACCACCTTCTCCTGTATACTCCCCACTTCCAATTTTGTAAATCAAACACAAACAGTGAACAAATTTCAGTGTGAGGAGCAGTAAAGAACAAGTTGGTTTCTGTAACTGAAGCACAGCAGAGAACAGTTCTCCTCCTGAGATGGTCTTCATGCTGTTTTTGTCTCAAAGCAAATTATTGTTTTGAAATTATCATTATTATTACTAAATAGCATTCCTTCCAAAATACCTCAGCTGTTGAACATTTAACTGCTAGTTTGCCCAGAAGGCAGAAAAAACAATTTGACTTCATTATAAACACTTTTTTTTTTTTTTTTGCAACATGAAGCCAATTATTGTATTTTAAGTATTTGATTGTTGGAAAAAGAAAATTAAAGCACATCTTTTCAAAACCACATTGTCTTGCCTTCTTTATAATTACTGAATCAGAGAGATTCACCTTTCAGTACTTTAAACTGCAAAGGGTCATCAGCATCTGTAAGACTGCCCTGCTAATCAGACCATCTAACCAGCCTTTGGGGATCTCCCTGAGGCTTAATCCCTCCTTCACTGGGATATACAGAGCTGATGGTCAAATACACCAGGTGATCTTGTCATGGCATAGTCTCTCTAATGCCCAAAATGAGCATCTACAACATTCTACAAGTTACATTAACAAAAGACAACCCCAAACCCTTCATTATGGGGATATCCCTCCAGAAGCCACAGAAATGATCCAAGAATAACCACGTAAACACAGAATGTCAATGGTTCCTTCAGTCCCAAAATCACACGTACGAGAAAGAGCTGTGGCAGTAGCAGCTGCCATCAGTAATTTGTCAGTTATGAGCAGGGCAGGCAGTGAGACTGCAGCCCTGACCAGAACAGCTGAATTTACTCTGTTTAACGATGCTGCTCTGCCAAAGCCCTGCTGACTCTTCCCAGCCTGTGCAGGGACAGCACAGCACCACCAGCTCTGCTCTCCACTTCTCAAAACGCTTTCCATTAAACATCTGCACTCGAGTCAGCCTAAGAGCTGGTGTGCAGTGATTTAGAGCAATTCAGCAGCAACTTGTTTGTAACTAACTGAAGCCTTTCTTTAGTAGAATTCACCCTTCCAGTGAACTCACACGACGCTTTTTTTAATGAATCAGTGAAGTTGTGCCTTTGCCAAATACAGGACTCTAAATGAACTTAGTTTCATTGTTTTTTATGTGAAACAAAGACCAGTAACTGACTGGGACCTCCACGTTGTTCTCATGAGATGAAAAAGATGACGACAAATTTCAGCCAGGAACTCTAGCAGCAAGTGAGAGAAGACTTTGCTTCAACCCATCCTGAGATCCTGCCTCTGGCCATACAAGGATCACAACTCACCACAGAGAGCTGGCTCCACGTCGACCTCAGGGGCTTATAGGGAAAAACAACCTTGTCATCCAGCTTCTGCTCTTGGGGCTCAGACTCTTCATCAGAATCTATGTCCAGAGCTTTTTCTTTATAGTTCTGATATAATACAGCATTTTCTGTCAAAAAACAACAGGATGTCAGTCATTGCTAGAAAGTTAGTTTAGCTGCTCTCATAAAAATTTAAAGTAACATTTAAACAATGAAAGAAACCAAAGTGTCACTGTGCTGCTCACTCTCCACCAGACAAAGATAGCAACTGATTTGGGCTGGACAATGGTGCAGTACAGTGACAATGGATCACTGTACCCAAAGATCCTCCCAGACCGAATTAAAGAACAGATGTGGCCTTTGTCAAAAAAAAAATAGCAAACAATTTTTTCTTCCTTCGTTTGCTATACCCAGTTCTGTAATTAACCAGCAATTAGAAAATGGGATTGTGTCTCAGTGGAGCAGACACTGATTTGCAGGTCTCACTATTTTCCTGTCCAGGAAAAGCATACTGCCCACAGCAACCCTTCTTCTGTCAACTCTGAATACTGTCTTCACATTTCACTGTTTCCCATTTTCAGAGATATGAGGTCAGAACTATTCCAAATAGAAAGTTAAAAGCCTGAGTAAGAACGAGACCTATGAACCTTAAGACCAAACACACTCCTGGTGTGTTTGAGTTGTGCCATCATTAACTCAGAACTATCGGTGGCAAAGGAACACAGGCGTGGAGCACTCTGCTGCTTCCCAACCTCCCTGGCCACACACCCTGGCAACAGCAGTGAGCAAGGACACAAATTCAACACCACAAAAACACAGAGATGAATTAAGCAGGCAGGCTCTGCAAGGTACTTTTAGATGGGCCAGGCTTTGGATAACACCCAATCTTCCTCCACAGGAGAAAGGGGAACTGAAGTGGAAGTTTGGCTGCTCCAGGCAGGGCCCCAACTCCTGCAGTTCCTCACCTGGCTGGGTGGGTCTGACCCACCTGCTCAGACCTACAGCCCTGCCCCACTGCTCGACCAGGTGTGGCCTTTGGAGCAGCTCCTGGAGAAGGGCCTGTAGAGTTTACACACTTTTAACAGAGGAAACTGTCACAGCAACTGAATTGTGGGAGGCATTCCACAGAAAGTTATTAGCTGGGATCATCCAAGACAGACAGGAGCATTGGAAGAGAATCCAGAAAACATCATTAGGAGATAGTGTGAGAAGAGATAAAAATAAAGAGTAGGAAAAGGGGATGATGCACAGAGAACACAGTGGGAAGCTCTGAAAGCAGAAACAAGAGGAAGGTAACACAGCCCCTGAGATAACCTCAAACAGGCATTATGCAGAGAAAAGCCAAGAGAGTAGCAGTTATTATAACAGAACTTCTGTGGACTCATCATAGATGTTTTCTTGAAATATCAGGAAAAGCAGCAAACTTGGCAAAACCCAGAATTAACGAGTAACACAAAAATACAGCTGCACAGACAGTATTTTTCTGACACTTGTATTTGAAGCCTAGGTTGCAAGAAAAGAAAATGCTTACAGAGCCCAAGGGTTCAGCCCAGCAGCCTCAGCTGATGAGAAGGCAGAAACAGCTGTGTCACCCCCCAGCCCAGAGCAACAGCTCAGGTGTGTGCTGCAGGGATGGCCCCAGACCCCTAAGGGATCAAATGTCCTGCACCTGGGCAGCCCCAGGACCAGGCAGGAAGGCAGCCCCACGTGGAGGAGCCTGCCATGGAACTGCACAGAGCAGTCAGGGCTGAGGTGAACACAGCCAACAGCTCAGGTTTTGGGAAGGACAGGAGCTTAAGTGGAAAAGAAGCCCTTGACACACCTTTTTAGTCTGCCACTTCACAGCCTTTAAAATAGCCCTAAGGTAGGTCTAGTGCCAAAATTATGGTCCCACATCTCAGCTGCATTACTGAAAAACAAGGTGCTGAGTCTTTGACTCCATACAAAGGAAGTGTGCAAAACGATCCTGAAGTTCATTTCCCTTGGGAGTTATTAGCAAGTCTGGACAGAACAGGGCTCACCTTCCCCATCGAACGTCCCTTGTCCTTTCAGCATCTTCTGCAGATAATTTTAAGAGAAAAGGGAGATATGTTAGAAGGAGGAGAATGCAAAATAATCACAGTAACAAGAATGTCTGTTTTATTCAAGACTTGGGCACCAAATCAACAGGCCCTAAATCTGTAAACTTCATATGCTGGACAAGAGCTCAGTAAAAACAATTGTGTCACCAGAGAAAGTGAAAAGCTACCCCAGTTTCATTTCTCTCATGCCTTGTTTAGATGTATTTTCCCCGTGTTTCAAAAGCACTACACTGGCTTGAGAGGGGTTCAGTGAACTCCCAGCTCACCCCTCTGTCCCAGGGCTGTCCGTGGAGGCGCAGCACTGAGAGGCTGCCCTTCCACTCTGCAAACAAAACCACTCAGAGCACTTGGTAAAGGAGCCTGCTGACAGCACAACAAACCTCTGAAATAAAACAGCTGTTCTGGTGCAACAAGGCCCAGGGCCCAAGAGTCTATTTAATAAAACACTACTTGCAGAGAACTCTGTAAGGACAGCACAGTTTCATGTCCTCCTATCTTGAACTTAACTCACTGTTTTAAGTCTACTACCAAACCAAGCCACACTCTGCAGCTGTTCGCAATTTCATCAATTTCTATTTCACTGTTTGCAGCGTTTTCACAGAAGCATCCACTACCATAACTTCAAACTGGCTGAAAACTGCCATAAAGCTGATAATTAATTTAAAAGCTACAGCATCAGCCCTTGGCCTGATGTACTTTATTACACAGAAATCTATGAATATATTTCATACAGTAACAAGTTATATCTAAAATAAGGAAATACAATATTACACTATGATAAGTAAAAGAACACTATCAGTATGTCTCTATAATTTAATACATTAACATTCAATGTAACTCTACAAGAGGATTCTAAGGGATTACAACCAAGATTTAAAAACAGGCATGCTGCTTTTACTTTCAGGCATTAAAAATTAAAATTACTTTCAGGCATTAAAATACCTGAAGTGATTTGTATCAATTTAAAAATCACTCAGTCATTTTTAAAAATAGTTTAAAAGTAATGTCTCAGAGAAGTGAGGGAGGAAGTTCATTTTTCTGTCTCTATTCTAGCACGCAGACTTTATTAAGACAATGTCCCTTTTTTTCCTGTTTACTCCTTTCTGGGACACAGGTTTTAAGCCCGTTTGGTTGTGAAAGCTGGAGAATCCAGCAGGAAAAGTGAGCAGGAAGCACCCAGCAAAGGCTCTGAGCCTCCTGCATTTCAACAGAGCCCGCCATCTCCAACACCTCACTTGGAAAACAGCACTTTAAAAACTCACAGCCACTACGAAAAGTTTTGCATTAGCAAAAAAGCAAACTGAAAACTCCCAGCATTTATGGGAAACGCAGGATCAGAAGGCCAGGCTCCCAAGGAGCCAACACCTTCACCTATCGGCACACCTTACCTTTATCCTCCCCAGGCTCGAGAACTTCTCTTTATCTTCAACCACCGCTTTCAGGATGGGCTGGGACATTCTGTTTTTCTTCTTGCAGTCGGCGGAGCCGTCCAGGTCCACGCCGCTCACCACGGCCCGGCGGTAGGACGTGGAGCGCAGCCCGCGCCGCAGCGCGCCCGGGCCGCCCTCGGGCTCGTCCTCGGGGTCGCTGCCGAGGGACAGCCGGGGGGTCTCCACCAGGCTGCGCACCTTGAGGCCCCGCTCGTGGCCCTGGGCGCGGCCCGCGGGCCGGCTCTCGGCCAGGCTGCGGGGGATCAGCTGCTGCGAGCCCACCCTGCGCGCCGCGGGGCTGTGCGTGCTCAGCAGCGCGGGGGGCTCCGCGCACGGCACCGCCGGCGGCCCGCTCCCGGGGGACCCCCCCGGCGCCTCCGGGGGCCCGGCAGCCCGGCTGGGCCCGGGGGATCCCCCCGGCGCCTCCGGGGGCCCGGCAGCCCGGCTGGGCCCGGGGGATCCCCCCGGCGCCTCCGGGGGCCCGGCAGCCCGGCTGGGCCCGGGGGATCCCCCCGGCGCCTCCGGGGGCTCGGCTGCCCGGGGACACGGTGCGGGCTGAGCGCTGGCTCCGAACACGATCCGCTCCTGCTGCGGGGCCAGCGCGGGCAGCCCCGCGGTCCCGGGCGGCCGCGGCCGGCGGCCCTGCCCGCTGCCCGGCGAGGAGATGGTGCCGTTGGCGGTGGAACCGACAGGACCGTCCGGAGCCGGGACGAGCAGCCGGGAGCGCCGCTCCGGGGACAGCGCGGGGGAGCCCGGCGGCCGCACGGTCCCGTTGGACACCGATCCCATGGCGGGGCTGCCGGGCGGGCGCGTGCCGGTGCCGGTGGGCTGAGTCACGGAGAAGGCGCACCTGTCCTCCACGGGGAAGTCGGTGACGAGCACTCCGCTGGGGCTCTGGTACGACTGCGGCCGCAGCTTGCTCCAGGCGAGGGGCTGCGGGCGGGGGGTCGCTCGCCGCCTCCAGCGCGGCGCGGCGGGGCCCGCGGCTGGGGGCGGGCGGAGCGGCGCTTCCGCCGCCGGCACAGCCCCTGCCCCGCCTGGGCCGGGCTGTCCCGGGCCCTCCTCTGCCCCGCGCAGGTCGCGGCGGGTCCCGGCCGTGCGGGGTGAGCTCTCGGCGGCAGCGCGGTGGGGTGAGGAGAGCCGCGGGCAGCACGGGCAGCTCTTCCCGGCCCCTGCAGCGACAGCCCCGGGCTTCCCGCGGCGGGACCCGCAGGTGTCCTGCCGGGAAACGTGTTGGATTGTAGACTTGGCGCACGGCCGTGGCGGCAGGGCCACCGCCGGCACCCCCCGGCTGTGCCCCTACACCTGCCCGTTCTACAGAGGCACCTGGCCGGCTGGGGCTGCCTTACCGCCTGCCAACGAGCTGGGGAAAAGCTAGGAAAGGAACAGCCTCGTGGTATAAAAATGGGACGTCGACAATGTATCTGCTGGGAATTCTGACAAACTACATCCCCCTGAAAAACCTGTGTCTGTAAAAATGGTGAAACTTGGCTGTGACTGTGGGACAACATATAGCTTAAACATACATCAATGGAGAGCAAAGTAGATTTTAAAAGAAAAACAAAATCTATGCTCGTTTCTGTGCCAGGACAGGAGTTCTGCCCACTCCAGCAGCCCAGCCAAGGGTCCCTGCCCTCCCAGGAGGGGAGAGCTTCAGCAGAGAGTCCTTAAAGAAAGAGACACAGGCATTTTTCTGCTCTGTTACATTCAGTAACAATTACAACATGCTCTTATTTTGCTGTCTGCTCCTCTACAGTTAAAATCTGCCTCTGCTTCCACTGGAAAAAAAATAAGGAGTCAAGTATTTTAAAAGCCGTTTTGTCACAGCTCAGGAAGCATTTACGTGAGAAATTAGCTCCACTATTAAATGGCACACTGGCTAGGAATGTAAAATACATTATAGAATGCTTCCCTAGTACTGAATCGCGAAGCTGAATTATTTGTCTGGTTTCCCTCAAACACCTGAAAGGCAAAATCTAGGTGTGATTCTGCTGCTGTGTAATTGGCAGAGCAGAAATAGCTGGAATGTTTGGAGATGCTGGAGGCCAGGCCCGCACAGTGGCAGCTCTGCCGTGCAGGGATGCTCAATAAACAACTTGCTTATTTAGAGATGGGCACCCACTTAGGCACCGGGCTGAACTTGAAGGGAGAAGGCACAGAAAAAATATTGTTAGATTTGTAATTGTCCTCCCCACACTTGCAAGACTTGAATTTGCCAGGTTTTGTATATCATTGAATAAGAAAAAAAAAATCGGAGTAGATTGAAAGTACTTTCTTGTCGTTTGAAATATACGAAAATTTAATTTATACTGAGTCTGTTTAACAATCAGAAAAAAATATAGAAGAGAATGTAAAGACCAGACAACTCTGTGTACGTGCACTTAAGCTTCAGATGTACTATTAATTTTTTTGCCAGGAGAACCCAGTAAAATAAAAAATCTTGCTAAGAATCCAATTAAGCAATGCACAAAGAAATTAAAATGAACAAATGTGTATGTCCACAAATGAGACAAGACTGAAAATTGCCACTCCAGCTTCAAACAGCCAGAGCTGAAGGGAGAAGCCACAGGCAGAACCTAAGATGCTGGTTTAGTTGTCGCTTGGGATTTCCCAATGGATTATTTCTAAAATTATCTCTTACTTTCCACATGAAATTGCCAAGGTATTGCAGCATATTACTTAACTCATAAATCCTAATTATTAATGACCGAGGTAATCAGCTTTTACAAGATTATTCTCTTGCACATACTTATTCACTGTGCTACAGTTACAGGGGTAATTTTGATTCCCGAACAGCCACCTCAATGTTCCACTTAATGCGCAGTAAAAGAGAAATAAAACCTTACAATAAAATTGCCATCATAAGAAAAGTAAAATCAGCTCTGTAATTTAAGAGAAGAAGAATGTACACGTGGTTATTAAGCCTTCTGACAAAGGCAGGTCGCTGAGATCCTTGAGGCTGCAGTGAGGCCGTGCCCAAAGTCAGGGCCAGGCAGGGCAGAGTCCTGCCCTGGGGCCAGGTCCCTGCCCAGCGCAGAGCCTGCAGTGCTGCAGCCCTGGGATGGGGCAGGAACCTGCAGGGCAGCTTTCCGCCCGCCTGCACCGCTCCGGTTAACCCAGATACGGGCCGCGCATTTTGAGGGAGAGTTTGAAGGGAACCTCCCCTTTCCCAGCCACAAGACCAAAAGCTGGTGTCAGGAATCGGCACCAAACCTGAAGCATTTCCATACCTGCCTGCAGGCAAACACTCCTGATATCCAGAGCCCCCGTTTATCATAGCCAGCACGAGGCAGGTGTGCACAGGTGTGTTCAGCGGAGAACATTTTTATTGCCTGAAAATCTACCGAGGAAAATGGAGGATTATTCTTCTCCCTACATCCACATCGAAAGCACGCTTTGCCTCTCTGTGCAAAGAGCAAAACCAGCAGTGAGACCAAGCTTTATTCATTATGCAAATGCTCCATGTCTCAAGCACAGTGCTCGCTGCTTGTGTGCTGTAGGATGGTCCTGGCCATGCCCTGCTGTGCAGCTGACCCTGGCTGCTGGCTGCCCAGTCCCTGCTGCCTCTGGCCTCCCCAGGGGCATTCCCAGCACATCTGTCCCCTCTGTGCCTCCCAGAGCGGGGAGGGCTGGAGTGGCTCCAGGAGAAGTGCTCAGTTGCTGGTTAATCCCCAAAGGAATTGACTGCATGTCCCATCTGTATTAACTGCCAGCTAGGGAGTAGCAGTATAAAGAACATTCTTCTGAAACTCTTCTGTTTCCCTGGTCCGTTCACAGGCAGCTGAAGAGCCAGCCGTGCTCTGCTCAGAGCAAGGCTCTGTCCCAGAATTAGCATGCAGGGGGGATAAGGCTCCCTCTGTCCCACAAAAACCCTTCCCAAGCACAGCAGTGACAGGGGTCACCACAAGCCAAGAAAAGACGAGGTGTCAGTGTGACAGGGCCAGGCACTGGGGAGATCCCCTGTCACTGGTTTCACTGCTTTTCCAGGGACATGAAGCAAGGGAGTGGAGCCTCTTTCCAATGCAAGCAGCAGGATTTTCCCAAGGAGGACACGGTTACTCCAGCAACACGGGCAACCCCACAGCACTGCAGAACTCAGGAAGGGTCGAGCCTTCCGACCTCCTGCCCCTCCTTCTTTTCTCTACAACTGTACATAGGCTGTGAGAGACTACTCTGAACACTGCTCAGCCAAATTTTAACTGTAAATCAATCCAAGATGGCAGAACACATTTAATTATTCCTATTTGCCTCTTAATTGGTTTTTGGTTTTTTTTTTTGGGGTTGCTAAAATACTCAGCAGTAATAGAAAGCTTTGCAGCACTCACTAAAAGCTTTAGGGGAAAAGCACATCTCATTGTACTGCAGGAATAAAGGGCCTGGTAATGCCCATGTAGCATCAAAGTTGAAACAAGATGCTGTTTTACTGCTGAACTGGGATGAAAAGAAAGAGTAAGAAAGAATGTGTACCCAAGAAACACGACTGAGGACTGAGCTGCTGCTGTCTCTGTTACTCTTGTCATGGAGGTTACAAATTCTTGTCTATGATTGTAAAATGAACTTTGTCTTTGCTAATATTTAGACTGATATTACTTGTTTCCCAGCCAATTTCCCAGCTGATTTCCTGATCATGTCTCTTCCTTTGCTGCCTCACAGGTGGGTGCAGAGATTGTCTCCTCTGTGAGAGAAGGAGGTACCTGGCAGCTCCATCACTTATAGAGTTGGCTGGGAATTTTCCCACTGGAAGTATTTGAGATTTCAATATGGTAACTGTATTTTGTGTGTGCATATTTCATATTTTGATGTGAAAAACATTTCTCAACTTGCTTGAATTATATGTTCTTCTTTGGTTTTGCATTTAATTTTCCAACACAGTTTATACCTCCCAATACTTTAATCAGTAAAACTCCCACAGGCTTCAAGGAGATAATCATGCTCAGTAAGATTAGGTCAGTCTAACATTAAAGTAGGTGATTTCTGTCAAAGATTATCAAAATTTCCAAAAGTTATACCTATTTCTAATGTTTGTCCAGTGAATATGAATATTAAAGGAGAATTGTGAAACTGAGAAGCGTGTCCCTTCACCTCCAGTTTACTTATATACATTCTTTTTTCCAGTTTTACAATTCCATTTAAAAATTCTGACAGTGAATTTCCCGTCAGTAATTCAAAGACCATTCTTTCCACAGGAGAGCAGTTAAGAGAAAGTCCTAGAAAGTGTAGATAAAAGCTCTTTAATCTGATGACTGTATTTCATAAGATGCTGCTATTTAAAGAGTTTGCAGGATTTCAAACATGACCTAACAAAAGGATGGAGGCACTGCTTGCCATAGCTGAAGAGTTTTTGTGGTTGCCATTAGAAACTCAAGCAAGCTGGGAGCCTGCACGGACAGTCTGTGCAGCTCAGGGCTGGCTCTGCTTTGTTCTCCCTTTGTCAGCTGTGCACAGAAATGCCTGAGCAAGTGACAGGGGCATGGGGGCAGGTCTCCAAAGGGTTGCTCTTTATTCCCTAAGTTTGGTTGCTGATGTTTTTTTTTGGTGTGGTTTTTATTTTTTTCTTTTTAAGGAATGAACATTCTGCCCATACAGAAATTTTAAAAAATTAAATAAATAAAAGAGAACCCCAGTATTTTTTAATTTGTTTCCTTGTTGATAGACAGTAATTTCTGGGTGTGACACACCGCTGCCACTCTGCAGTGGGAGAGGAGTCACCTATTCTCAGCCCCTGTCAAGCTGTGACTCCCAGCCCTGTGCAGCCCCTGGGCAGCCCTGTCCTTCCCAGGATGTTCCAGCTGCTGGCTGGATGTGCTGGGGCTGCACAGGCCCCTCTGCCTCTACAGACAGGGCAGCTGCTGTGCACAGAGCCCGAGGCTTTTCCCGCCTGATCTCTCAGGTGAGACACGGCAGCCCCAGGGAACGGCTCACCTCCGCTCCAGATGACAGGGCAGAGGCCGGTCAAAGGTTGGACTCCATGATCCTAGAGGTCTGTTCCATCCTATCTGGTCCTGTGATTCTGTAATCGGGGTGATTTTAGAAATGCTGAACCTCATTTAGTTTCAAACAACTGATTAACCTGCAGTTATGTGCCAGATTTCCCCTTTGCTGCCTTGAAATGCTGGAATTTTGTGAATGCCATAGCAACAGAATTGGAAAGTGAGGAAGTCTGGAGTGTGAGGCAGGGAAGCTTGTGTCTGTTTTTCTCTAACGAGCTGAAGCTCTGA